AGGCTCGCTCCTCGTCGAGCCCCGAGCGCTGTCGTGACTGGCGCCCCGAGCGGAGTTCCTACCGGGAGCACTACGGCGCCTGGGGCGATTCCACCGCCTTGGGGCGGGTTTGGGCGTTAGCATCCCAGACGTTGGGTGAGTGCAAATCCTGTTTCAGCTGATTTTTATTATTATTTTTATATTATTTTTTATGTGTTTTTTTGTTTTTTTTTCTCGAGGGTGAATTTATGATACACCTCCTTAAAGTCAGCGATCAAAAACAAGGGCCGATTTCTTTTTCTTCCCGCCACTTGCGGGTCTGGGGCACTCAGTCAAAGTTTCCAGATTGCTCTATGGTCCATGGGCATAGAATGGACATGGGGGACGAGCTCTAAATCTTCCAGGGGACAAGCTCAAATTTTCCCCTTGCTGAAGCTTGGTGCTGTTGACCGGTCATTTAGAAGATGCCCTTTATGGAGTTCCTAATGGTCTGTCTAAAGGCATATTTTAAGGTTAACTAAACATGACCCAGAGTCCCCCACTCCACAACAACTGCTTTTTCCCACACTGCCCATGGATCCGGGTGCAGAAGTCTAAACATCTTATCTTTGGCGTCCCCGAATTCTAAGTCTTCAACATTCAGCGCGACTTGCAAAAGGGACAGTGGCGCAGAAAGTTGCTTAGGAGTTCGCCCGCCTTTTCTGCAAATTTGTGTGTCTTAACTATGGCTTTTTTTTTCTATTGTTGGGGAACCAGGTGTGGCTTCGGCCAGGTTGTTGTTGGGAACCATTTTGCATTTTTGCTTATTGTGGTTTAATGGGAAATCCAACCACTGAACAGCTAAAATGTAATTGTTTGCTCCCCTTTCAACGTCAACCAAGTGAAGTGATTTCCCTATGAGGGGAAACAAGCTCATGGCTCCAGTGGGGGATCCCTTAATTCCAGTTTCGAATTGTGGTAACTTGCCCAGACTCGCGCGCAGGCCCTCAGACAAATGGCTGGTTGACCACTCACTGGCTTGCAAAACCTGGAGCGAAACGTCGTTCGTTTCACGAGGTGCGCTCCCAGCCACATGGAGGTGTCCAGGGGTTACAGCGGTCAAAAGTGAAGTGGTGACTTAAGTGGTGACTCCCCCAGAAATCAACATGGAGCCCAAACAACTTCATCACTCGCAGAGGAAAGATGTCCGTCCTGACATGGCGCGCCGCGGCCGTGAAGTTGGTTGATTTCAATGACCCCGCAAGGGTTCTAGGGTGAAAGGGAATCCTAGCAACACTTTTGGCAGCTTCAACCAGGGGTACTCCCCGGTAAATGTTATACGCATTTTCGGAGGTCCCAGAACCAAAGCGATGAAGCAATGCTTCGGCACTTGAGGGCTCGGATCCATTTGGCCGAGTCTGACTTTGTATGTGACCCCATCACAAGCCATCTTCCGAAAAATGAGACACGGATATGCCGTATATTCAAACAGATCCTGTAAAATCCTGCAACCACGAGCGAACTATAAACACATATTTTCTTTCAGAGGACCCAAGATGATGGTGCTCTTTTCTTCCTTTAGTCTCCGCTTCCCAAGTTTCCTGTGAACCACAAACCACAAGACTTACCTCTTAAAAACACAACTTTTCAACTTTCTGGGTAAGCATGGGCTATATGTATGTAAAAGATTAACTTCCCCAGGGCTTGGAGTTTTAAGGGGTAAGAACCAGAATGATGGTGTTCCTTTGAAACCCACCAAACATGACGCCATGGCTGGGTTTGAACCAGAGGCCTCAGCCTCGCCAAGCAGCCCATGATGCCTGGCTGAGAGGCGCCAAGCTTCGGCTGCAGCGAAACGCCATGGAGGTTGGTCTGAGGAGTCCGGGGGAAAGAAACCACGGACTGGGGAACCGGCTCCTGCGAAAAGGCCAATAAGGGGTCTCGGTGGATTCCGGAAAAAAAAGAAGAAAACAAGTCAAAAACGTCAGACTGGTGAGCAGGACAAGAGGGATTCCACGAAATCCGACTTGTGAACAGGATTTGTTTGCCCCATCCCACCCCACCCCACCCCACCCCCCCCATTTGCGGGGACGTATGCGTCGACTCGACTCGGATTCTCGGCTCCCCCCTTCTTGGGGAGAAAAAAAAGAACACCTGCGGAGTGGCCATGGGCTGAAGGGGCACGGCGTGCTTCGGCGGCCCGAAAAATGCCCCAAAGATGGGCGCGGAATGGGCGCGAAGAACCACCTAGAGGGTGGGTAGGAGAACCTCCCTTTTTTTTTAAACACAAAATATATTATTTGTGATTATTGTTGTTATGATTATTGTTCTTATTATTATTATTGTTGTTGTTATTATTATTATTATTATTATTATTATTATTATTATTATTATTATTATTATTATTATTATTATTATTATTATTATTATTATTATTATTATTATTATTATTATTATTATTATTATTATTATTATTATTATTATTATTATTATTATTATTATTATTATTATTATTATTATTATTATTATTATTATTATTATTATTATTATTATTATATATTATTATTAGGTTTTAGTTGTGTTTAGTTGTTTGTAGTGTTTGTTAGTTGCTCTTAGTTGTTTTTCGTTGGTTTAGTGGTAAAAATCCCACTATCACTGTAAGTTAAACTTGTAGCGGGGGATCTGCGGACAGCCCAGGTATGGATTGTCTTGCTTCAGTTTGGTGTTGCTTACTGTGACTTGACCTCAGGTTGGTTCTTCCAGTGACCCTGTCTTTCTCACACCTTGGCACCAATTATTGCAAGCACGGCGGTCGCAAGTAGATTTTCCCTCCGAATTCAGATTTGACGCCGTGCGAGCACAGCACGAAAAGAGCTGCAGATTGTGCTCGGCGGAATGTTCGCCAGGGGACCTGGCACGCCTTCTAGCTTGTGGTTGGAAGGAAGCAGGGAGCTGCAGGTATCCAGAATTGCTTTTAAAGAGGGAACTAATGAGCTATACCAGGAGTTATGCGCTGACATGGTAGCTGCTAAAGATAAGGATAAGGACTCTGGTTCGTATTGATGGAGCCATAACAATAGTCGACATAACGAGACAACTAACCGTAGCACATATGGGTGTGTGCCTTTTTTACGGCTTCGGAGGAAAACTAATGTGAACCGACCATTTTAGGCGGGTCGGGACCCTGATTTGGAAACCAACCCATATGTACCATGGTGACCTGTGTATATACTCCCCCCTTCCCCATCGGCAAATTTCAAGCCCGCCACGAAAATGGGGCCTATGGGCATCAGCCGCATGGGTAAAACAGGGGCTCCTGAAAAGATCGATTCATTTTGCAACCATTTGAAACATGCTGCTTTTTCAACACCAATCAAGGGACACCACCATTGACAAGTTGCAATGTTCAGGTGTATAATGTAAGGATCCCTGTAAAAGCAGGCGGATTCTTTTGGAGATGCATCCTTCTCCCGGCACCCTGAAAGAAAATCGGCACATGAAACGGCTCGACCGTGTTCTACAGTTCTGGACAGTGACCGCTTCCCGCATCAGCCGCCCTACGTGTTGAGTCGGCGAACACCGAATAGTTTAAACTATTTTCTAGCCAGTCAATTCAGCCGGGCAGCCCCTGGACCAGTTTTTTGGGGTGACTTTTCATGGTTCCCCTCGACCATTTGAGACTCCCTTGGCTGAGTGTTTTGAGATGCCGATCCCGGTTCCTTCAACTGACAGTCCGACAGTTTTTACAGAAGGAACCAAAAAAAAACACCCAGTTCGTTTGTTTTGTTCCGGAGGTTGGTAAAGGAATATCCTCTTGGAAATTGGACCCCTTTGGGCTCCCGTGGATATTTGTAGCGGTGAATTCCAGGATCAATCTGAACAAAATCTGCGGGAATCAATAGTGGGGTGGTTTATCCATTCAAATCCATCCCAGCCACGATACCTCTCAGCCGAATGCCTGACCTCGGTCTCGAGTTCGATCAATATTTCGGAGTTGTGTGTCCATTGTATTTCCCATGCCCTTTAGGGAGAACATTCGATCATTTTGACCATGGCTCTCATATGAGAGTTAATCAATATTCCCGGGCCCCAAGTCAAATCCTTTTTGGGTGATATCCCTGATGGTCGTTCCATGTCAAGAGCCTTTTCATCAAGCTATGCGAGAAGCTTAGCAGCCCCCGGCTAGGGGTGGCGGGGGGTTTTGGAGATAAATTGGGGCTTGCAAACTTGGGCCTTGCACAATCCACCGAGATTTCTTTGGCAAGTGCTAGCTTGTTGCTGCTGCGGGGGACATATTTCGTCACCTTCCATGCCAAACAGGGTTGCCAGGAGAAGGCAGTAGGCCCAAACACACATCATCTTTGCCATCTGAAATAGGATCGGATCCCCTTGGGTTTGTTTCATCGTATGATTCTACGGTTGGAGGTCGTATCGCAATCCTCAGGAGGGACCTAAGGTATATTGCTGCTTTCGACACTGGAAACGAGATCTCAAGGAAGCCATCATCAAAATGCAAGGGCAAAAAGTCAGCCTCCCTCAGCAACCTTTCAGCAAGATGCCTCCTGATTGAAAAGTCGGACATGGATTACTGTGGGTTGATTGCTGCTAACAAGGAAAACCAGCTGGGAGCCCCTGTTTTTTGTTGACCCGTTGCCGGATTTGTTTGTTGCAACCCCCCGAGGTCGCTAAGGTTCACCTAAGCGGGCCCAGTCTGGGTTTGTCTTAAAATAGGAATCGGAACCCCAAGATCACCCCTTCAGAGGTTACCCGCAGACACCCCAAGCAAGTTGTCCCGTTTCTTGGTTCGACCAACCCAACGGTCTCTGAACTTCCCCTTCATGGACATCCCAAAGTAGCGAAACCGCTAGGTTGTTTGATCACATTTCGGAGGCCCTGAACCACTGAGCCACTTCCAAACTCCCAAACCCAAGTCAATGTCCCAAGCCAGCTCCCCAAACTCCGACCCCCCTTCCTTCGTTGACCCATCGACCCCTCGGCCCGACTCGGCGCGGGGCCGGGGGACCGAAGCGCGGAGCGCCGAGGACGCGGTGCTGCTGCAGAGCCTCCCGGAGTCCCGGAGGTCTCACGCGCGGAAGCCGAGAGGAGCTGAGGGACGAGTCGGTGGTCGGTTGTCGGTTGGGGGTCGAGTGGGAGGCGAGCCGGGTGGGAGAGATCGGCGATCGGCGAGTGGTTGCTTTGGGGGGGCTTGGAATGTTGAGGATTTGCTTGGGGGTTTGGAATGTTGGGGGTTTTTGTTGGGGGTTTGTTGGGGGTTTTTGTTTGGGGGCTGGGTTTTTGATGATTTGCTTGGGGAGTGGGTTTGGCGATTTGTTTGGGGTGGGAGTGGTTTAGGCTTGGTTTGGGCTCAGGTGGTTTGAATCGGTTTGGGTCTGGGTGTGATGGTTTGTTTGGACTCAGTTTGGTTTGTTTTATTTGGGTTGGCATTGATTCGGTTTAGGTTTGGTTTAGGTTCGGTTTGGTTTAATCTGGATTTCACTGGTTTCAGTTTGACGTTTGGTCGAATCATGGGATGTCGAGAAACCCCCATCTGCTCTGGTTGCAGCGGTTTCGATTTTTGGCGGTTTCCAAAGATCCTTGCCGGCTGGTTTCCCAAGTGCGGAGAAGCTGGCTCTACTCCAAGTCCATTTGTTCACCTGATAATGTATGGTTGATGAATTAGAAAGACTAGTCTGAAAACATGAGTTTCCGTGTGCCCCTTTGACCAAGAAGGAGCCAAGGGGATGGCTTTGAACCATGGGGTCTAGATGATTCGCGTGGGGTCGTGGCACCAGTTGGCATGACAGAACGAACCCGGTGAATTTTGGAGGATAAACCGACCAAGGGGAGCGGTGGGAAGTGGATGTTGTCCATCAGTATGTTGCGGAGGGAAATTTCCACGGGCCCATTCCCCAACCCAAGCTGGCATTTGTTTAAACTGCAGGTTCGCAAAATATGGTTGGTTTTTGGGGGGCAAAAGCCGAGGCCGAGCTAGTTGGGTCCGCTTTGCCTGGGAGGTGTTCATTTCCCGCCCAACCAGCACGCCGGAACGGTTGCTGTGATACCAAGGGAATCCCTCCAAAGTGAGAAAGTGGTCACGGGAACGAGCCATATCGGCATCACAGAGAGATTTGCCACAATCATGTTGTTGGGGGGGGGGGGTTGAGGCACAGTTGGGTGAAAGTACATAGTACGACTCCCTCCATTTCGGATTTATCATCCACTTTACTTACCCTAAAGTCCAATACAGAATACAAGACGCTGACATCTACTCCCAGATGAACATGAAACCCGAAACAAAGGGGGCTCCCCCCCGCAGAGCCCAGCGGATAGGGCCCAACAGCTCGTCCCATCCCGAGATACCGAGGTCAGCGTGCTGCTGATCTGGATCGCTGTGGCGCTGGCGTGCTGCGTGGAGGCCGTGCCGAAGCGCTCCTCGTTTTCGGTGTCGCGCCGAAAGGGCGAAGGTGGGTTCCTCCAAGAAAAACACGGGCGGCGCGCCGTTTTTTTTTTTTTTTGGGGGGGGGAGTTGGACTCCCCCCAAAATGGTGGCCTTCACTTCATGGTTGCCCACGGAAGTGCGGTCTTGTTGGACTCATTAGGCAAACTACTGAACCATGTTTGGGAAACCCGTTTTGGTCAAAACTAGAACTGGGTCTCCTCCAAAACGATTCTATATAGGGTAGAGCAATCTGTTCAGGTAAATGAGAAGCTGGATGAGCTTCACGTTTGGAATGTGTGCAGGTGCGGATCCGACCTTTTGATTTTTCATGCATATTTAGAGGGGGGGGGGTTCTCAAAATAGGAATCGGACCAAAGTCTTTTTGCATGGCTCGACAGGGAAACCACTGGGAAAGGAAATGACAAAAACAAGACAGTGTGCGGGGGGGGGGGGTGACAAATCGCCAACGTCTAAATGTGATTGTGGGGTGGTGCAGTGGATATCGGCCGCTGACCTAGGACCCCTAGTAGTGCCCTTTTGCTCTTTTTTGGGGGAGGGTTCCCCTACTGAAATAGACTACAGAACAAAGGGTACCCTTATTCTGACCTCTCTACTGGAGGACCTAGTTTAGTTTGCTTTTTTGGCCACCATGTTTAGTCGCGGTCCAGAAAGGTGAACCTCTTATCTATGGGTGCTTTGGGCAACAGAGAGAGGGACATGGGTTTGTTTTTTCTTGAGGGTGTCCCTTGCAGGCTGGTTTTCCATCAGGCAAACTACTGAAGCATGTTTGGGGAGCCCATTGTCTCCTCCAAAACTATTCTACATAGGGTAGAGCAATCTGTTCAGGTAAACAATCGGAAGCTGGCGCATTTTCATGCTTGGAATGTGTGCCGGTGCGGCTCTCCGGCCTTTTGATTCTTCATGCATATTTGTTTTGGGGGGGGGTTCTCAAGATAGGAATCGGAGGTCCCCAAATTATTTTTGCATGTCTCGACAGGGAAACCACTGGGAAAGGAAACCGGCGGATGTTTTGCGCACCTTGTACTGTGGTAACAAGGATGACAAAAGCAAGACAGTGGGCGGGGGGGGGCAGCGGGGGCAGTGACAAATCGCCAAAATCCAATTGTGATTGTGGGGTGGTGCAGTGGATATCGGCCGCTGATACACTGCAGACTCCGGATCTGGATGAAACCCTCCTTAGGTCCCCCAAAAAAACCCTTTTACCTTTTACCTTTTTTTGGGGGGGAGGGTTCCCCTACTAAAATAGACTACAGAACAAAGGCTACCCTTATTCTGACCTCTCTACTGGAGGACCCAGCTCCTTGGAGACATCAGCTTTCTTCAGAGGGGTATTTCTCGCAGACCTCCAGCAGGTGCAAGTCCTTGCTTCAGCTGTTGGAGGGGGGTCTCCCTGGAAAATCCGCGGAAAAAAAAGGCGCCGGTCCTTGGTTTTATTGGGGCAACTGGTCTGGGAACGCTTTGTTTAGGCGGGAGGGTGCCGTTGGCCCGGGTGCTGGAATGGTTTTTGGGGAGTGTGAATCTTCTGGAGAGGAACCAACAATTGACAAGAAGCTAGAACCCCTGGACACCTGAACCCATGTAGCTATGTAGCTGGATGTCTTTTTGGTGCGGACCCCAAATGGAAGGAACTGAGAGCCGTTTTCTGGGGGTCACCTAACTTGAACGGTGGGAAAGGGGAGTCTGAAGAGCTGTCAAGGGAATCCGGGGTCTTCTCCAAACTGGTTTAGTTTTTCAGGGTCGCAGGGAATCGGAATCCACATGTGTCAGATGCTTAGGAATAGTTGATTCAGTAGATTCAGAATATAACGTATCAATATAATCGATATTTTTGATTCAGCAGCCCACAAGTTCCGAAAAAGACCCCAGGGAGGCAACGCCAAGAGGAGGCAGTTGCGGGACCCAACCAGCGACCCGACCGGATCTTGATTTTGCCTGGGGTCTCAATTCTGTTTCATATTTGGTCTAATCGTTTTTTTAGGGTACCTTGTCGGTGCTTTTTGAAACCAAAGGAACGCCAAAATCCATGTCGGGGCTCCCCTATTTTGAGACAAACTCACATTAGTTGCATTTTCGTCTGGACAAAATTCTGTGGGTGGATTTTCGTCCTGTGCCACCTAACAAGCCCCTGAAATGTTGATTTTTCTGAAAACACCAACAAACATGGTTTCCCATTGTTTCCAAGTGGCGCGAAATGGGTATGGGTCAAAATTAAATCCACCAGGGGAACGCAGATATCAGTCCATGTTTCCATTTGCCAGGGTTCCATTTTGGGCTCTATTTTTTTTAAACCACGGCCAAATGGATTTCGCAACCGTCCACAGTGTGAACCAGAACAGATCCATTTCCAGGTTCCTCAGATCCGGTTCTGTCCTGGCGTCAGGTTTGGGTCTGCGCGGGGACTGAAGCCGGCACTACCTGGCTCTCCGGGTGTCCCATGGAGTGGAGTGCAGCGGATCTGCTCATACTGCGGGTGGTTGCGACATGAAAAACAACATGGTCGAAACCACAAGGTTTGGTGGTATTTGCAGGGGAATTGAATCAACACCCAGGGTTTGTTAGGCGGATTTCGTCCATTGATGCACAGTATGGGGCCGGTGTTGTTTGAGGCTGCGTACCCTTTTTTGGTGGGTGTTGGAAGGGAAACCACAAGAAAGTTCGAACACCATTTTAGACGAGGCACCTATATGCCGCGCTGGGGATAAAACGAGCTCACCACAATGAAGACCCTCTACTTGAAGATGCCTAGTTCAGCTTTTGGGCATCGTAACAATTGCAGATGGCATCGAAAGAAGGTTGCTTGCATTTTGCAGGGAAGTAGTGCCACATATTTGATTCCCCATGGTTTAGGCGCTCGAACACGCGCTGTTTGGAGAGCGCTCTCCCTCCCTTTTTGCGGTTTCCGTTGACGGCCCTGCGGGGTCAAGGCTTGGAGCAGGCCATGGATGTTTTTCTGCATTTGTTCTGGATTCCTAAGGAAACAGAAGCGACCACGACACCAGTGCGTGACAGTTTTTTTTTCCGTTTTTTTCCGCAATGTTTGTTGGTTGAAAAACACCATCATACCTGCATCATACCCCCCATCTCCGCGGATTAGCATGGAGCCCGGAAAAGCCACATGCCTTTTGGCATCTCCTCTTGGAAAGCAAACCTCTTTGTTGGGCATGCTGAAAGTTTCAGCAACCCGTTTTTTCGGACCTGTTCCGTGTAACCCTTCGAAGACCAGAACCTAGTTGCATACGTCTCGCTCCCTGAGTTCCGGGACCCGGACTTCAGTCACTTGTTGGGCTTGGCGTTGAGCCATTTGGGCGTGTCTTTTGTTTGAGGATACTTTTGTTTTGGGCCAAACCATTTTGTTTGAATCTTTCAGGGGTACCACCCCTGTTTTGTATTTTTTTCAGGTACCATGGTGTTTTGTATTTTTTTCAGCGGTACCCCTGTTTTTGGGTTGTTTCCATAGGGAACCAACCGTAAAACCATGTTTTTTATGTGTATATATATATATACTCGTACATATATATATATATATATTGTTTCACGGGTACCCCCTGTTTTTTGTTTGTTTCAATAGGGAACCAAAAGTAAAACCGCACAGTCCCTCTTGGCCCATTCTGTCGCTGGCCACTCCAGGGGTTCATCCGCGGAATTCGCTCGTCGCCAGGTACCTCATGGAGATGCTCTACTCGGCGGATCACGTCAGCCGCCCCGGAAACGCTGGAGATATGACAGGGCTCCTTAAAAGATCTCCATTTTGCAACCGTTTGAAACATCCGGGTGAATTATAACGACCTCACGCGACCTCACCCCAAAGGTTTCTTTGGGGAATAGCCCTCCAACCACCTTATTTCAGGTGGGTGAAATATCATGTCCATCAGGCCCCCCTGTTAAACACGGCCAGGGCTCAGGCTTGGTGGAAAGTTCGGTGCTTCTCGAAAGGGTGGACCTTTTTTTGGATGGGTTTTGCTCAAGGTTAAAGTTGAACAGCGTCCAATTCCGGTTTTGAGAAAGACATCTCCTTTGTTGGATGGCTTTTCTCGGGGAAAAAGATGGAAACAAACCCACAGCGAAGCCTTTCCTGGGTCTGAGAAAGCTTTCGACGGTGGGATGTGCTCCTAAACGGCAGTGGTTAAACTGCTGGAGCTGTGGCCGCTTTCTCGAACGAGTTCGCTTGAGTTGGTGTTTTGCTTTTTGTTGCTTTGTTTATTTGTTTACTCGTCGCGAAGAAACCAAATGCAGCTTTCGGAAGACAAGTCGATCGTCTTGACTTTGCCAGTGCAAAAGTGCGCCCTGCGACTGGAACTTCCTGCGCGTGCGGATGGATGATCCGATGTGCCTCCAGTCGCCCTGTTTAATGCTGGGAAGTGTTGTTTTGCACCCTCAGTCTACAGCAGGGTTGTGAAATCAAGGGGTTTATTCCCACTTCTGTGATACAAGGGAATCTCCCCCTGTATATGGGGTGTTCGTCTTTGGGAAGCCCTTTTTGTTGTATCACAGAAGTGGTCATTTCCCACAACCCTGGTCTACAGTCAACTTCCAGAGCATGGCTGGTCGTAGGTAGCTGGCAGGTCTTAGTCACTAGCTTGTGGATCTACCCAATTCTAGCCACTTTTTTTGGGTTTGGGACTCATTGAAGTTCACAATATGTAGTTGGTGTTAGTGGGACACACGCGATGCACTGAAACGAAGAATCTAAAAGCCGTTCCTTTGATTCTTCGGGAAAGCTACGTATTTATCTCCCGAGGGGTGGTTTTGAACAACCCTTGAGGCCAGTTTGCAGATTCGAGAGGGAATTTAGGCTTCAGCTTAGAGTTTGCCAGTGATTACCAGCACCCCCAACTGCCTTGTGGACAGTACCAAGAGGATTTTGGTTTTGTGGGACAAAAGCAGTTGTTGGTCCGGGGGTGTGCAGTTTACACATTTCCGAGGCCAGTCAGAGTTTACAGACTTGCGTGAAGGAAAAGTTGGGTAGATGAAGGTTAGTAAGGGGAAGTGCCAGCCAGAAATAGTTGCGGCCGCCTTCTTAATTCTTTACATGGTGATGGGTAGACCATATTAATACCGGGTTTTGATTGTGACTCAAAAGTGCCATTTCGAGTGCCCATTGCACTTTCCAGAAGCAGTCTGGGGATAGTCCCAGTGGGTTGGGATTCTCGGCATCTCGCACTTTTGGCGAGAAAAATCGATGTCGGGGGCTTTGATTTCGGGGGGTGGCGGGGGCGGAGGGGGGGGAGTTTCGGCCTGCCGAGGTCTTTGTGATGCAGATGATCTTCAGCGGCTTTCTCTGCAAGTTGGGGAAAAGAAAGCGCTTGGCCTCGTTTTCCTAGGTCCCCCAGTAGTGCCCCTTGGGGGGAGGGTTCCCCTACTAAAGTAGACTACAGAAAAAAGGGTACCTCTCTATTGGAGCTTGTTTTTTCTAAGCCAGTTCTTTCAGTTCTGTGGGTTTTCTGGATTTTCTCCCGTAATTACTCATACTTGGATTTTGCCAGCCCCCCTGCTTTGGGTCTTAAAAAATACGTGGTTTCCCCTGGGAATCTGGCGCTGGCTTCGACTGGGAACAAGTTGGCCCCGTTTTTTTGCCGCGGTCCTCTCGCAAACTTTTGCGCCGCCCAAAGCCCGCCAGCAAATAGGCCGGGAGAATACGACCTTTGCACAGTTTCCAAATGATGCTTGGGTTCTCATTTGGGTCTGTCTTTTTTGGGCGTACACATATTTTGGTGGTTGGAAAGGGAAACAAGGAGAGCCACCAGTTTGGGAGTTTCCTGAAACAAAACACGCCCATTGCGAGTCATGGCCATAAAAGGTTAACCCCTGATGTGCAGCTGCTTTGGGCGAGGCCGCGGTCTGAATTCCAACGAAGAAAATGGTCGATTGGTTTGCGCCGCGATTCATGCAGGGCTTAGCAACCAGGATAGTCGGTTTCCTCGAGGTATGGTAACCCATGTCTCCAAAACGGTCACGCTCAGAGGAACAACTGCTTGGTTGGTTTAGAGGGAAACTTGCAAACAGGAAAACCGAAATCAATGTTTGGAGGCCTCCTATTTTGATACATAGACATACATGACATGGGTATCTTGATGGACAAAAGCCTTGTTTGATCAACGTGTTGATCCCGCCAGTTTCGGGCAGAATCGGAGCCGGGCTGTCGAAACGGAAGTGTGAAGCATTCGGAGCGGCCTTGGAACCCATTTGGCTGCTAATGAGGGACAGCCCTCATTGTGTACAGGACAAGTAAGCTGGGTTTTCTGAGAACAGGTCCTGTTTTCACTAGCGCTTTTTTTTTTTGGAACGAACGACATGGCAATGGAAAGAATAGGAAGGAACCCTCAGGAGCCGGCGGATGGTTTTGACCATTTGACTCTGTCGGGGCTGAAGCTAAACAACGAGAAGCTCCACGCACAATAAAAGAGAAGAAAAAACAAATCCATGATTCCGCAAGTTCCTCGAAAGGACACCGGAAGAGGGCATGAGGTCACAGAATTATAGCCCTTCACCCGGATATAGGTTAATTTGCTCAGATTCTCCTGTCCCAGGAGGCTCCCGGATCTTTCAATGGAAGACCAGACCCCTCCATTCGACATGCCGGGAATTGGTGTTGACTTGGTCTCAAAACCTGGCTGTCTGAGCAGGGCTCCTTAAAAGATACATTTTGCGCATTTGAACCATCGCTTTTTCCACCAAAATAAAAGGAAACCACCATTTACAAGGCAATGTTCAGGTGTATAATGTAAGGATCCCTGCTGAGGGCCCTCGCTATTGATCGATTTTTTTAGCGTCTGGGGTGTCTGAGGGCCATCGCTTTCAGCCTCTGCGCCCGAGGCAGTTTGGACACCCCTCACCGGCTGATGCCGAAGGCATCGACGCGACCAAAAACCGTCGAGAGGGGGGGAAAGGGGGGATTCCATGTCCCTAGCTGGTTAACAGGGAGCCGGACCCGGAGCTGGTACCCTCCCACCAACTAACATGGAAGTGCAAAAAGGACCTTTCCAAGAGGAAAGTGGTCTTTCCACAGGGTCTGTGCACTTCCATGTTAGCTGGTGGGAGGGTATCCCAATTTTGTTTTGAAAGAGGGATTCTTTGGGAGCCATACTTGGAGTTCTGTAAAGCTCCCAAGGTAACTGTAAAACTCACCAGGAGTTCTGGGGAACTCACATGAAGCCAGGCTGTTTGGTAGTCCATGCCATGCCCAATGTGGTGCTGTTGCAGCAGCTTCACCAGCGCAAAAGCGCTCGCCGAGCCTGAGATCTGGCTAAACATGACTCTGAAACTAGTTTACGCTTGACCACCCCGAGTGAGCGTGTATCTCTGGGAGTCGGTGGGTTCCTTCTCCATTCGCTTTTACCATTGTTCTCTTCGAGAGCAAACGCGGTTACCTGATAGTAAACCCGTATGAGCATGACGCCATTCGGTTTGAAAGTGACCCAAGCCCTTCCAAATACTTAGGCCCTTTTTTGATCGATAGGCCACCAGTCCCAGGCTCCAATCGCTTGGAACGTGGATGTCCCTAGCCCCGAATTCACGAGGAACACTCCCCGGCAGGCTGAGATGGCAACAGACTACATTCCAGCCACAAACCGTTTGTGGGGTGGTTTGTGGGTGGGCGGGTGGGGGGGTGGTTTGTGGGCGGGTGGGCGCATGGGTATGGTATGGATCGCAGGCGCTCTACATCGCCATGATGGGCAGCATGGGCTTCCGGTTGATTGGGTTTCTGGGAGCCCGGAGCCCTGGAAATCGAGGGTAGCATGACAGAAAGAGGGTCTCCTTTTTGGGGTTTACATAAAGGGAAAAGACAAATCACCATGTTGAGCCCAGATTTTGAGACACGCGTGATTTTTAGGATATGGAGTCTGAACAAGCGTGGTTGTCCATGGTTGTCCTTTGTGTCCCTTTGAAACCACACCAAAACGAGTACCATCAACAAAAAGACACATGTCTCTATATATATATATGTATGTATGTATATATATATATATATGTGAATTTAGCTTGGCTCCAAATGCGCCCTGCGTTTTTGTGACTTGCTTCGCTAGGGAATGAAGAGGGCTTTTGGGAGGTGTGTTTTGTTTTGTATTGTTTGGCAGGGTGATGGTCTGGGGGGCTTTGTTTCCTGGATCTTTGCTCAACTGCTGGCGTCAGCAAGATGGCACACCCCTGGCTTCTCATTCCAAGGCGAGAGATGCCGGAAGCAGAGCGAGAGAGCGTGAAGAGCGCGGAGAGAAGCGGTAACAAGACCAAGCAATTGCAAGGCGTCATCGTCTGGACTTGTCCAAGGGCCAAGCCAGGCAACTGCAGACTCGACTTGGCTGTGCCCACCGGATGGGTGGCGACCGGCTCGGGTACGTTGAGATGAGCTTCGCCCCGTTGTGGGTCAAGCAGCTGCTTCTTCAATTGACCGGTCCTTGGCGCAAGGGTCCTCGAAGATGCGTGGTTCAGATGGCGCAGCTCAGGAGATGAGCTGGCTTCTTGTGGTCGAGCCCAATCCAGTTACTTCTGCGCGCGGCGTGTAACAGTTGTTAAAGGAAATGGTCGTGGCTGGTGAATATCTGTTTTTTTGGGGTGCGCCTCGCGCAACGGGAGAGCTCCCTTCTCTTCATGGTTGCTTATTTTGATGTGATGAATGGGTATGAGGGTTGGTTGGGTACGCTGCTTGCGCTGCTTTGCTCAGAAGCCAAACAGGAAACGGAAAACGATCAGGCGCCGGTGAACACCCGGATCTTCTCCTGGATCTTGGGCACTGTCTTTGTGTACGCAGGCGCGACGCTCCCGAAGCGCTGGCCGACGGGGTGCCCTTTTAAAGGGGAACCAACAGGCGGTTTGGGGTCAAAAATGGTTACCAGGCTATGGTTCTGGGGAACCAAAAGTTCTGGGGAACCAAAAGTTCTGGGGAACCAAAAGGAGTATTGGTGCCAACTGTTGTTGGCACGCTTTCAATTTTTTGTGTTCTCCGTTCTGCTCATTTCAGTCGGGGTGCAAAAAGCCACGTGCTACCAGACCAAGGGTTTTAACCACCCAACCCCGCTGGGTGCGTATCGGGTCGATTTGCAGGTGAAGACCCTAGACCGTCAGTTGAGGGAGCAGGGGGAAGTCTCGAAATCTCTCCACAAAAGCCGGTAAGGACCACGTGGAAAGAGGAGTTTTCCTCGGCCAGGGGACTCCTGATTCATTTTTCCTTTGGTTCCTTTCGGGGAAAGGAACGCGTTGTCTCTTTTTGGCCCATGGAGCCCTGAGGGGGGCCACGGAGGACATCTACATGTGGCATTTCTTTGGGGGAGACAGGTGGCATTTCTTGAGGGGCCTTCTGAAAACGATCATGGCATGGCGTCTCTTGAAACAACTCCATTTTCCAGCAACCAGCTGCTCCTTGGACTGACTGGGGGCCAAAGGGGACATCAAAAGCGGGCAGTTGGGGCCCGGGTGGCTGGGGACCGCCGGGTCGACCGGGTGCCAAAAATATTTGGTTCGCACCCAGATGGGCGCTGGGTCTTCGTCGGAGCAATTCGTTTGTACAGTTTTTCCTGGGCATTGCTTGTTCCGGGCAGTGCGTGTCACAGTTTGCTTTGATGTCACTTCAGTGGACCCGAGATGTGTGCAAATCCCTTGGTCAGCCTTTTGTGAAGTTGGGTTCCCTTCAAGATCAGCTACAAAAAAACATAGGCGCCCATTGCATTTTCCTTGCGGGGTTGGGATGTTTGGGGGGGGGCGGGGGAAAACCTGGGGTACAGGTGTCGGCCAGGATGTGCCCATGTGACCAGTTCGGGCTTTCTGGTCCTTCAAAGAGCACCTTTGACACACCGAACCCCTGTTTGGCCGTGGGTTTCAAAGGAAAGCAAAAGGACGACCACCAATTTGTTCAGAGTCCATATCCTGTATATGCGTGTGTCTGAACTAGGGCCTCAAAATGATGTTTTTTTTTCCCTTCAAAGCCACCCTAAAATCGCTACCCGCCAAAACAAGATAGAAAAATCCTACCAGCATCCAGGTTTCAACAACTGCCCATTGATGTCCGAAATCTTCCCAAGGTCCAGTAAGTCCAAACAGCAGTGGTTGCCTTGGGCCCCGTGTGCTGGTAAAGGAGGCTTTTTTGGGGGGGGCTGCTGTGAGGCTTTTGGATGTTGGAGGAGGCAAACATCATGTTGGCTTTTTGGGGGAGGTTTTTGGATGTTGGTTTTTGGATGTTGGTGAGGTTCTTGGAGCAAACATCCTTTTCCAGGATTTTGGGGGAGGCGGATGGCTTCGAAGGAACCCCGCGAAAACCTCAAGGAAACCTGCGCAGAACTTAAGGACACTGGCGGGACATATTGTTTGAACCCGGGGAACCTTAATTTGGTTTCTCCTTTTTGGTCTAGTTTCTCTTAATTTGGTGCTTCCTGCAAGTGAGTTAAAAAACAGGAAACCCGGAAAACTTCAGGGAACCCTTGAACCCGGAGAACGCGAGGGAAACCCGTAGACCCAAAAAACAGCCTCGAGGCATCTCGCGGCTGGCGCGCCGGGCCGGCAGCTGCCCGGACGTCACGGACAGCCCGGCCCGGAGCCTCGGGGCTTTATTGGGGCTTTATTGGGCCTTTGGAGCGAGCGCCTCGTTTGGGGTGGGGTGGGGTGCCTCTTTACAGGATCCTCTTCTTGGGGTAGGTAGATCCTAGGTTGTTTTTTTGGTTTAGGCGACCTTTTTTGGGGTAGGTAGAAATTAGGGAAGCCACAAAATAGCCATGTTTTGTGGGCCGGCCATATTTTGACACAAAACCGTTGCTGTTGGTTGGACCCTAAATGGTTGGTACCCATGTTCGACCCCTTTTGAGCGGCATTGTCATTTTCTGCAACCGTGCATGGCAAAAAAGTGTTCCACCAGTTTGTTTGACGCCAAACTTTTATTGTGCCCAGCCCCCCGCCAAACCTTTGCACGAAGGGCTGGCCGAAGGGGCATGTCCAAATCGCACCAGGCTGCAAAAGGTGATCGGCCTTTCTGCTCGGGGAGCAGCCCAGTAATTTTTCTGATGAGCATGCGCCTCAAAGCTCGTGAACAACCAGATTTTGGCCACAGCCGCAGGGTCTCCAGTACGAAAAGAAGACCCATCATGGTGCGAAAAGGAACCCGGCACCCGATTTGGTCCCAACCTGCAAGAGCTGAATGGCCCATGGACCCCCAAATTTCCTCGTTGCTCCGGCTTCTCCTCCAAGAAGGACCCCGTCCTCAAAGTGGCGATCGTAGCATACAGCAAATGGATCAGTGGTCTCCAAGAGTTGGCTGCCAGCCTCTTTCACTCGGGCTTTGAGAAAAAGGAGGCCAACAAATCCAGGGCACCAGCTTCTTTTCAGTGCCCTCGATTCTTTTTTGGAGGGCACTGAAGGGCACTGAACATATTCTGGTAGGTTCTTGTTAAATCCACGCTTCTGGTTTTTCCCCAGCACATTTGCATGGACGGCCCACGCCCAAGAGAGCCCCGGTCCCACCCGCCCCCCGCCACCCGTCACCCACCCGCCAAAGCGAAGCGCCAGGCCGTTCGCGTGCTCCGCACCTTGCTGGGCGAGCGGCTCGGGGAGTTCTACGACGAGGACGGCGAGGCGCGGTTGGCGCCGCGGCCGCGGGGCGGCGGGGCGCGCTGTCTGCCGCTTGTTTGTCCCTTTCTTTTTTTCCGGCTCGAGCTTCCCCTGTGTTTTTCTCGCTTTGTTGGAGCCTAAAACGGGTGCTGCTTCTAAACCCGGCTCCGAAGACAGTTCCTCCGTTTCCGACAATGGATTCCGCTCAGAATTCACTAGTTCACGCCAAGTGGAGCCAAGTGCCAGTGGACGTCCTAAAGATTGCAAGGGGAATTCGGGGAACCTGCAGCAAGGTTCTCGGATGTGGCCGGTCCACTTCAACCGACTGGTTTCTGGTTTCCATCTCTTCCGTTTCTAGCTGGTTTGCAAGCTCTGCCCCCTAAAGTGGTTCCGTTTTTTTTGGAGCTGAACTTTTCCCCTTACTGAAACTCACGGGAACTTCTGGCTTTTTGCAAGCAGGTGCGAACAAAGGGGGGTGCTTTTTCAGGGCTCCTGAAAAGAAATACCTTTTGCAACCAGTTGAAGCATGTTGCGTTTTCAACACCAAAATAAAGTTGGACACCACCATTTACAAGTTGCAATGTTCAGGTGTAGTTCATGTAAGGATCCCTGTTTTTGCATGAGGCGGTTGCATGCGCTTCCTTCTGTGAGTTGTTGTTTGACTTGATTTATTTTTGAGGAGGGTGCTTACGTCCTGAGTCTGTCAGACCTCGGTTATGTGCTACATGATTTATTTTGCAAATGTGTGTGCGTGGTCTTGTTTTGCATCATGTTGGTGTTGTTTTGCTTTACATGTCTTTGTCTGTGTGAGTTTTGTCGTTTGGTCCCCGTGTTTCTTGTTGCGCCGTTGTGTTGTATTTGTTTCCCGTTGTTTGTTTGTTTGTTTGTGTGTGTGTGTGCACCCTCAATCGGAGGCACCTGGATCGCCTGCAGTTTTCTTTTCAAGCTGTGAAAGTGGGTACGAACCCAGCATTTGGGCGATGTGTGGGGAATCAGGTGCTGTAGATCGCCCAAACCATCGGGATACAAACCACCAGAAGCTGAAATCTGCCAGGCCATTCTGGTGGATGTGAAGGGCAAGGCCAGATGAGAATCTGGGCTCGTCTTTTTTTTGAGGGTACTCTTGGGGTTGGCTTAGAGGGAACAGGAAACCACCTGTCTGGAAGATTCCCCTATTTCAGACACACCCATCTGGCAAAGTGGTTTTCGTCCGGTTGATTCCCCACATGCAGATGTTGCAAGTCAATCACAAGTGCTTCCCAAATATAAGGAACAGTTTGTTTCCAACATTCAATATGTTGGTTTGTTTCAAAATAGGGGCACCCACAAAGTGATTGGCCTCCTGTTGATTTCCCTACCCAGCCCTAAAAATGGTACCCTGGAAAGCGCACACCCAGGTTGGGCCGTTGCCAAGTCTCTCACTTTGATAAACAGGCTCTGACCGCACAGATTTATAACATTCATTCATGATTTGTTTGGTTGGGCATGATGTTGAACGGATATCACCTTCCCAAATGGTTGGTGGACCTCAATCCTCACCTAAATGATGTCGACCAAAAGCATAAAGTCTTCGATGTGCTCAATAGTGTGTGTTAGTTTGCCCCGGTTGGTTTTATATGGACTCTATCACCACTGGAAGAAAACAAAATCCAGGGGCCGTAGGCAACTCCTTCCATCCTTGGCACCCCATTGATTTGAAGGAAGCTCCCAAGCTCGGTATGTGTGGCTCGGTGGGTCCAATGTTTACGGTGATTTGAGGTGTGCGTTTGCTTTTTTGCAACCCGCTGAAGCGAGCACTGAGCATCCACGGTGTTGCATCTGTACTCACCAGAAAAAAAAGGAAGACAGATCCATGGGTCAAAATAGGGGTGATGCCACCAAAAGTGGCGGTCTCCTTGTGGTTTTCCCTAACCATCCAACCCCTCCAAATTGGTGCGCCTGAAGTGAATCATGGCGGGGATCCAGAGTAATTATCCCCTTAGGAAAGCATTGAGAAACCACAAAAAAGCAGGCCCTTCAAAAACCAACCTTGTAGGGGGTCCCTTTCTGCTTGGGGGAAGCGTAGTGAAACCGGGCTACATGGGTGTGGGTCAAAATTAAGGCACCAGGAATTAGACCACAGGTTTGGGTCCATGTTGCCACTTACCGATCGGGCAACCCATTTTGGGGGTTCCTACTTTGGTGCATTTTGCTTGGCTGTTAGGACTTTAACTTTTTGCCAACTAATGGGTTTTCCACTAAACCACTAAAAGTTAAACTTTTAGCGGGGGAGCAGAAAGCAACTGAGCCTATTTTTGACCACCACAGCCCACATTTTCTTCTTCCGGGCCGAGCCGTTTGGTCGTTTCGGCCAGTACCGGCTGAGCCTCCTGGGCGTGG